ACATAAGCCACACCTTAGCCCCTCTGTGCCACCAAAGGGATGAGACAGACCCCTCAGGAAGGAAATCCATCCCATCCCAAGACCGATGTCTGACCACCTGGATGAACTGCTCAGAGAAGATACCAATCAGTCTATGCTGACAATAGAGAGCACCAAAACTGTAACCCTTTAAATGGCTAAAGGGAGCCAAGAGGAATCCCTCCCTACAAACATCATTCAGGAGACCCATGGTAAGGAAGGCAGACACTCCTCCACAGTTACACACACACACGCATATGTATATACGTACAATCCATATACAAATGGTATCGGCACAACTTCTACACAAGACACTAGGACGATCCATTAAATAAACTATGTGCCTCCATTTGGCAGATTGGGAGATACTGCTGCAACAGAGGGACACGAAGAAGCAGTAAAGAAAAGTATTGCCTTGGAGCAAAGCAAAGTACTGCATTACATACTACACAGACTGGGAAAGGAAGACGCAGAAAGACTCCAAGACCACAGCGCAAAAGCCAAGTATCTGAAGAAGGATGTAAGAGTCATATTTAGCCCCATAAGTTAAACTATCCTGATTACTAACTATTGTGTGGTAGTTGTGTTTGTACAGATATGACAGAGCTGCTCTGGAACGTGGTTTCATTTAATGCCTGTGATAGGAAACAAGTTGACTTGAACATTTTTTTCCTTTTGGGTGGATTTTTTTTTTTTTTTACTTTAAAGGTCTGTGGCTGTGTGTTTCATACCTGCTCTCTGCAATTGTGTTGCATTTAACCTCAGTGACTGTTCTGAAATGCCCTGCTTTGTTCATTTGTTTTCAGCATCACGGTGATCCTTGGTAGAGCTTTGCTTGGTAAAGTCATAAGGACTCAGCCAAGCACTCTGTCACCATCCCAAAGTTTTGCCCTCTAGCTGTTCACTGTATTTCTTTTCTCTTTCTTTATGGTTTCTTATGAGATCAACTGTGCTTTTACAAACTGTTTCTTTTCAAGGCCCTTGTGAGGCCACATCCCTTGAAGTCAATGCTTTTCTGATCACCTCTATGCTTTCAGCATAAAGGAGGAAAGAGCAATTGCCCAGGCTTGGCTTCAGGTATCTTAGCATAAGGCTAAGCTCCCTACACAAACAGCAGCCCTATAGAAAAGTTGGCTCAAGCGTTATGCATCACCCATCAACCTGGTCATGCACCACTGTTCACAGCCCACCTGTACTGGGGAGGGTGGGGTGGTGGTGTTCATGGGGCCACCAGATCACTGCAGGCTGCATGAGGGTGTTACGCTGTGAACATTTTCTCTGGTAGCACAAGCAATAAAAAAAAACAGTGCTTACTCTGAATTCAGTACTTATGAATCAGTGTTTGCTGACAAAAGGCCCTTTTCTCAAGGAATTCCCCATCAGCCCTAGTTGTGCCATAAGTGATTCAGGCTCTCATTAGCCCTAATTAGCTAATTGTTCAAATGATTTCTCTATTATTCATGGAGCCTGTACCACTGAGCACAAGCCTATCAACTGACAGGTGCTCTCTGCAAAGAAATTGTGTTTTTCCAGGGTTATGCTCCTGCAGGGATCACTGTGCCCATCACAGCCCTCCAGGATCTTCTCAAGCTGTTGCAGCCCCTTGGGCTCCTCTGCTGTAAAGCCCCACAGTTCACCACTGTGGCAGTATAGAGAATTTCAGCATCCCCATATCTCTTTTTTGCACTACTCCTTTCCCCAAAAAATTGGTAATTTTTTAGCCATCTCCTCTGGTCATGTCCCAGGTTGCCTTCCCATCTGAGGTGGGTGAGTGTCCTCCCTTCCAAGCAGAAATTTAGTTCCCTTCTGATCTGGAGGGAGGCAGCGAACAGGAATCATAGGAAGAGACTGTAATTTTTTTCTTAGCCCCAGAGCTTTTATGCCCTTCTTGATACAGATTACAGGCCTGTTACAGATGGCTCAGTGATTTAAAGCACTAGCCTGGGACTCCAGATCCCGCTTCCATAAACTTCAAGGTTGACCTTGGCAAAATCTCTTAGGCTGGAATTTCTCTTGCCTGAAAATAGCCCTCTAAAAGCTCAGCAACCAGGCTCCCTCTGCAGCCGGTGGAAAGAGAGAGACAGACACCCTTTTTTTTCACATCTCAGATAGGTATGTAAGAAAAGGGACAAGAATCACTCTCTGGAGATACTAGCTTCTCTCTGTATTGACTGCAAAGGGCTCTCAACTACTTTGCGCTTAACCCCTAATGGTTAAATTATGTGAGCAAGGACAAGAATTTAAAAAATATACATGTCCCACATCTCAATTTCAGAGGGAATTGAGCGGTGCAGTCTTGTAAATACAGGCTTTAGAAGATCTGCAGTGATGTTTCTGCTTTGTAAAAACCCAACAGTATTTTTTCCTGGTGAGGTTTAAAATGAGCGTGACATTTTCAGGTGCTATGAAGACATAGACACAAGTACTCAGCATTTATTCTCCCTGCTGGTAACACCTGCACTGGGTTGCTGGTGGTGGATATCGTTCACAGCAAAGAGGCCACTAACCTTTCTTTACTGATGCGTCCCCGAGACTTCAAGATCCTAAGAGATGTTCCAGTCTCCTTTACATGGATCCACTGAAGCTGTCTGAGCCCACCTCAACTCTTGAAACTCTTTGGAGAAGTCTTCTGGAAGGAACATGAGCAAATAAACAAAATAGGCAACATTTAATATCTCTGATATCAGCCACACCTGCTAAATATGAATATTAAGCTCTGGAGGGAAAGCAACCTCTATGACAGCCAGGTGCTAGCCTGGCATTGCTCTGGAGTCTCTTCTCTGCTTGTGCTGTTGACTTCAGACCCTGTGTCCCTCCCAAAAAACATTGGGTGTTTGACTGGAGCGCCCAGGTTGAGCTGTGAAAGAGAAGAACAGGAACTTTCAGAGGGCAGTTCTGAGCTGAGATGGGTTGACTTCCAACTGAAGGTGCCCAAAGCTACGCTGACTACCAGGAAGCCCAGGGCAATGACACATGTTACACAGCCAAGTGTTTATGGGATGAATTCAGACACAAATACCATGTTTTCCAGTAGGCCCTGGCCTCTTCCTACCTCAGAGGGATACAAATTACAATATCTGACCATAGCAAATTCCCTCAGCCTAGAGGACACATAGAAGGAGAAAGGGGATTCCTGCTCAGTGTTCCCTACCCCAATGTCGCCTAGCTAGCCACAAGGAACTAAAAAATGACAGTCACCAAGGCTGCCTTAACTGAAACCAGGGATTGGACTCAGCTTCTGGCCAGAATTGGATTACAGATAGCAAAAAAGAGGGGGGGGGGGGACGGG